ATTAGTTTTTCATAAGAAAGAAAAAAACATGAGAATTTACCTGAGAAAAGAGTTCAGGTACTATGCAGGGGCAGAGAGAGGACAAAGATAAAATAGAAATGCTGAAGTCAAAATCTACATGTGGCATAATGCAAGGGTGATAGATTCAGACAGCAATCTGTGACTGTGTGTACATGGGAAGAACTTTTAATTTCCCTGATCCTCAGTTTTCTCATCTATAAAATAGGAGTCATGATTTTTAATCATGATGTTTACCTTAAAAGTTTATAAGGATAAATAAATCCTAAAATAGCCTGTGGCATATTGTAGGAACATGATACATGTTGATTTCCCTTTATTTATCAATTTCCCTAAGAGTAGTCATACATTTATCTATGAAACAAAATAGACATTATAATTGAGTAGACCCTGAGAACTGATTTATAGTTATTAATATTTATAAAAGGCACCATGTCCATATAATTTGTAAAGTCTGTTGACTCCCATTCATATTTACTGATACCATTCATAGCTTCCCTTTAATAAAAATGATTTTCAGTAATAGAATAGATGAATCATATGAGAAAGATTAGATGGTCTAGGGTTAATGAAAAGCGGACAAAGGATGAGAGCCCAAGTTAATATTTCTTCAGCTGGATCACAGGATCATTATATCCATTTGTTTATTCCATTTATTAAATATAGTGTTATATATTATTATATATTTTATTTATTATTATATCATTATTATTAATTTTGTTTGTNTCCCACATAATCAAACTAAATAGATAAATAAATACATTAATAAATAAGTACATACATAATTAGACAAAAGGCATTTTATGTAATGTGTGTGTGTGTGTGTGTGTGTGTGTGTGTGTGTGTGTGTGTGTGTGTGTGTCTAAGCCAGCTGCCTAGATTCAATAGGCTTATCCCAGCCCTTACTGATGTTCGGTATATGGAGACATTTTGTTTGAGTTCTTCTGGTTGCTCTATGAAAAATGAAGATTTTAAATCTAGATGTCTCAAACACTGGTATATTGAACTCAGTTGTGAAAAAGATAGAGTTACAGTCATGCATCAGGAATTGCACATAACGCAAAAACCATTTTCTCTATCAGCTACCTGACCTGTGGAAATGTAAAACTGCCCATCAGAGTGTTAAGAATATATGTCAGGGAGGATAAAAGAATGAGTACCCTTAATAGTTACTATGTGGAAGTGTCTAGGTGATAAATTAGTGCTGATGGATTAGCAACATCTGAGAGACACAGTCCATTTTAGTTAAAAGGATTTGGAATGTTTCTTGGCCCTGGAAACTTTAATTCTATAGTTAATATTAATAGTATCAATTATCTGAAGATCAAAAAAAACAACTGTTTCTCATTAAGTACATGTTTAATTTAGATAGAAGTTAGACCTTAAGCATTTATTGTTGTATGTTTCCTGAGAAGATAGAGTTGTATGATATTTTTTAAATACCCTGAGACACAGTCCATCTTGTTAATTTAAAATTTCCCAGAAACACTGTTAAATAATACAGTGTTTTAATTAAAACAATAAATATGAGAAATACAGGGCATGTAATGAGACAAAGGTTTAAATCTTTATCATTCAGCTGAAAATTTTAGGACATGATATATATAAAAGTGCCTTTAACACCGTATTTGATGTATTTGCTGACATTTGCCTTCTCTGTAACCTCTGACATTTGAGTCCAAGTTAATCATACAGTGTCCCAGTGAAATGGCAACAAAATTAAATTTGACTCTCTCCATCACCTTTACAAATCCCCCCACCAGGAGAAACCTCCCTATCACCTGCCAGTTCATAACCCTCCTCCTTCTCTCTCCATCCTGCTGACAGTAAATCCCTTCACCAGCTAATTGCACAGATGCACCCAGTGCTGCTTCCTGAAGGTCTGCAAAGCTGGGCTTTGATGGACAGCAGACAGTGGCACAATGAAAAAACAAAAGCCTTTTAACCGAGAATACTGCTTTGTTCTGCTTAGAACTTTAAGGTCACTCCAGCTCATTCTGACTGTGGGGATCTTAATTTTTACTCAACCAATTTACTTGCAGCTGTCATTCTTTCCAATATTAAAGTTCAGCTCTTCAAGTGTGGGGATCTGCGGGGTGGGCTGGGGAGGGAATTGGAAGAGCTTGTTACAGACTAAAAACAGCAAAAAACAAGTAAAATCTGGCTTGGCTCTCAAGTACAAAAAGTTATTTTCAAAGCCTATAAATTATGACATAGTGATTAACATGCAATTTAAATATATTTAAACAACAATTATATCACATTTCCAGCCCAGCTAATTGGCCTCACAGATGTTCCCTTGTAGCTGCCTTGCCCTTCCAGGGGGAAATGAATGAGGTACTTTTTATCATGGAAAACAGAAAAAAAAAAAAAAGAAAAAAAGAAAAAGAAACAGAAACATAAAAAGCAGCCAATAACCCTAAAAACGATGAATGCTAAAGGGACTTTGCTTAGCATTTTTTCCCCCATTTTAATGCTAGCAAAAGCATTTAAAACTAGAAAAAAGCATGAAGATGCTCCTATTACTACAATGGTATCTGGCAGTATATCCAGATAGACTTGGCAGGTTGCTGACAGAAAGACACATCAAGCAGGGACAGCGGATGCATTCTAATATGCCGTGCCCTCACTTCCTGTTTTGGAACAGACGAAATGCAAGAGGCCTAGTTATTTTTAATACAACGCCTTTACAACTGAAGGAGGCCTAGCCCAGACAATGAATATAGATAATAAAGTACTTCCTGATGAGGAGTGACTTGTGAGTTATTCCTTTGATCATTTCTCTCTCAAGTTTTATAAAATGCAAAATGGGCATCAGTCCAGGCTGTTTTCTCTGCTGTAATGCTCCTCAAATGTTACCTAGTACAACTTTAACAAAGAGGTCAAAGGAACACTGGTGATTCCTAATATTTTGTTATACCTTGTTTTCTAATATGCAATCATAGAATCGAAATAAATTTATTCCAGTCTCACTTCCCTCTTGCCTTTTCTTGCTATGATCCCAGGTAATGTTTGATAGTACAGTATAAATTGCAAAAGGGCAGGACCATGTCTCTCTCACTGTATCGTGATATCTCCAGCATCTCCCACAGTTCCTGCACTTTCCTTGTAGAGAGTTAATAAATATTTGTTAAATGCTCGCTAAATAATCAGGGTTTATAATATGACAAAGTTCTACCAGGCAGTTGTCATGGTTCTCGTACCATCCTCCTAATTTACATACCACAGGACTATATCGAAAATTCCTTTCCCAAATTATATGAATAATGTATTTGATTTCATTTTTTTCTAAAAAATAGCAAAATATACCAATATTTAAGGTAATGTGGAGAACAGGGAAACATTTTGAAATGCCTCTTTGATGAGTAGATTTGGCATTTTGATTACTTGACTTAGAAAATCCAATTTAGCAGATGTGAATATTTAAATTTTAGATACACTTTACATTTGTGCAGAGCTTACGAAGTTCATTTATATACGTTATCTTACTCTATCTTCACTGAGAATAAGGTAGAAAGGCCAAAGATGAAAATGGGGATCTAAGGTGTTTCATGATGGACCACATCACTTGTAATGGGGGCTGGAGCTCAGAGTTTGTAGCAAATCATAAGACAATCTGTCTATTGTACAATACCACCTCTTGTGCATTACACTTTATATCCCTAACTTTCCATGTCATAACCTTCAGTGTGTTGTTAGCTATGTTATTAGAGAAGGAAAATAAATAAGTATTTTCTATGCCACCATGTAAGCAACAGTCATGGAGAAGTTAAAATGTAAATTAACTGTTCAGGGCTTAGATGTGCCCCTAGATTAGTCCAACAGACTAAGTTCATTAAAGAAATCCTATTATCCAGTTGTTATTAGTTTACATTAAACAGTTCATCTCCATGGGTCCATATTCTTCTTGAATTGTTTTATGAATCTCTAAATGGTAAATAACATTTACCAGGAATAATATCTGGCTATGTTTCATAGCTGTTTCAAGATGCTATTGTCTTCAAAGTTTACTTTAGTCATCTCTGTTCACTCAAAGACAGAAAGTAGAGAACGAAAACAAATCAATTGTTTTTTATCTACACTACTATCTGCCTAGCAAAGTGCCTGGCACATAGACAATAGGTTCTTACAAAATGTGTTTAACGAAAGAATATATATGCAAGTTTTTGTTAAGGAACAGTTGGTATTAATACCACCCCCTAATTTACATTAAGGAACATTGCATTTACTGTTTTATCATATTTTTATATAAGCTTTTACTTCGCCCATAGGCTGCAGTACTAAAATGTAAGGATATCTTTTCGTTTTCTTTTAACTGAAATCTGATTTTAACTAATTATAAATAAATGAAAGTAATATATATAAAGTATGTTTCCAAGAAAGGAATTGATTTTCCAAGATTTTCTGCTGCTGCTTAAAAAAAATAAAAATAAAAATAAAAGTAAAACTGAAGAGAAAATAATATGTACCTTTTTATAAGGAGAGGCTAAGAAGTTGATCCTCTGCTGAAATATTGGAAAATAAATGTAACTTATTCCAAAGTAATTGAAATCCACTTCTACCTTCTTCAAGATAAGTTTCTTCTTATGAGATAGAAGTTAATTCTGTGGTATTGAACATGCAACGAAGGAAACTGTTCCTCTTTACAACTATAGTTAATCATGTACTGTTTTTCCCTTTATTCTAGGGTAAATCAGAGGAATATTTATTGTCAATTTAATTTTCAATCCATTTAAAAATTTACTTTTTTATGTAATTTTCCTTTCCAGGGATTGAATTAAAATATTTAATATTCTCCAAACACATAAATAAACTCATTTGCAGTCAGAATGCATAAAATTTGACTATTTAGCAAACTTCACTGTTGTGCATGTTTTCCCCTTTGGTTCATACGACTCATGTGGCTTTTCTTTTTCTTTCTTTTTGTTTTCACTCATGTTACCTCTTATTATATCCATCATTCCATTTTTCTTTCCTATTAGAGTGAAATTGGACACAGCCCTCCTCCCGCCTACACCCCCATGTCAGGAGTAAGTATTTCACAATCAACCTTCATCTTTTAGGATATTTGGTCTTTGCCTACCATACTTCCTCTGTCTCCCCATAATTTCCTCATTTTGCCTCTGCCAACAGTGAGTTAAGAATTTGCTGTAGATTGTGTAGCTGCCTTTGTAGATGTCTTATTCCAGTAGATAATCCATAATTGAGATATCATGCATCGATAGGAGCTTTCAGTTTTTATCGGCATGATTCAGCTGGGCTCATCAATTATGCTTCTGAGTGAGGAGGTTATATTTAATTCCATGATTACAGGCTGTATGCTGAAAGTCAGAACCTCAGTGATGATTCTCCAGTTAGGTACTGGAGACTCAAAGTCATAGGAACTACAACATAGAATGCAATAAGGAAATATCACCTTGCAGGGGAACCACTTTGCTTCTGTTCTTAATGGCAACTGTCTATAATTTATGACGTTGCTATTTGTCATGAAAATTCACTTTGAATTTTATATAAAAATAGGCAATTGTAGGAAAAGAACATGAAATACTTTTTATTAGGCCATGTGGTTGGTTCTTATTAAAACGAATATATATATATATATTTTTTTTTTTTTTTCCAAATTGTTTTTCCATGGTTTAATTTTTAGGAAAAATTGGAATTTTAGGTGTTTTTTAGTCTGCAACTGTAATCCATTAGTCATTAGGGAAAATAAGCTCAATAAAAAAGCTGACTTTTCCCTGAATGACAAGCTTCCATATCCCTTTGGTTATCAATATTCGTTTTTTCCAACTAACCCTAACAATAACTTCCTTCCAAATGTGTCTCGCTATTGACAGAACCAGTTTGTATACAGAGACGGGGCTTTCGCCGCAGAACAAGGAGTGCCCGTGCCCTACAGAGCCACGACCAGCACCATCCCAGAAGCTCCAGTTGCTCAGGGGGCTACAGCTGAGATTTTTGATGACTCCTGCTGCAATGGCACCCTCCGCAAACCGGTGGCACCCCACGTCCAAGAGGATAGCAGCACCCAGAGGTACAGCGCTGACCCCACAGTGTTTGCCCCAGAACGGAGCCCACGAGGAGAGCTGGATGAAGAAGGTTACATGACCCCCATGCGAGACAAACCCAAACAAGGTACAAGCAGCGTGTTCTGAAATGATTGCCATTTGACATTCACATCCATCAAAATAAGCAAAGTACAGAAGGGATATTTCTAAACCCCTGGGTTATGTAGCATTTTGACCCAGAAAAGACCTCCGCTGCTGCTACTCATGCTGTACTGTCTGAACAGGCAGCATCCACACAGTTATGGGCTTTTCAGAGCTCAGGATCTCAGGCCCCTCCTAATGGAGGAGCATTTTAACAAGACCCCCAGGTGCCATGAAACATAATCAAGTCTGAGAAGTACTAACCTAAGCACATCTCTATTTAAATATTTGAATGAAGTTGTATATCACAGAATTTCAGAACCCTTATTTTATTCAATTTATTGTAGAGATCATAATAAAGACTGGTAAAGTTGGCAACTGTGCCCAAAGCTTTTTAATGGCACCAGGAAAAGATTTGGTTGATTCGTGAAAATGGTGTCATTTAAATGACCTCGTTTATTACTGGAAATCATGACTTCTTATATGACATATCTCAAAAATTAAAGTGCTAACCCTACATATGCTTATATGTGTACCATCATGTCTTGAAAATATTCATAGTTTGTGGTTTTACAAAGCACAGCAATGACATTACAGGAGTTGCCGCTTAGCCACAGTTTTGCTTTCAGTTACCCATGGGGAAGGGTGGTCTAAAAATATTACATGGAAAATTTCAGAAATAAACAATTCGTAAGTTTTCAAGCATGTGCCGTTCTGAATAGCATGATGAAATCTCATGCCATCCCGTTCTGTCCCACCTGGGATGTTTATCCATGCTGTATCCTCTACCTGCTCATTAGTTACTTAGAAGCCATCTAGGTTATCAGATTGACTGTCTCGGTATTATACTGCTTGTGTTCAACTCATCCCTTATTTTACTTAATAATGGCTGAAAAGTGCAAGATAATGATGCTGATGATTCAGAGGCCAAAGAAAGGCCATAAAGTACTTCCTTTAAATGAAAAGGTATGCAAATATAGGGGGAAAAAACATAGTATATATAGGGTTCCCAGTTTCCGGTATCCCCTGGGGGACTTGGAACATATCCCTCATGGATAGGGGCACTTCTGTACAAAGTTAGTAGTAGAAATGGTAAGCACTCAAATCAAAGAACATTTCAATTTTGAAAAATATTCTTTCCTTCTAGTTAACAGCATCAAAAAAGGAGAAGATGATGATTGTTATTTAAAACTGATGATCGTGTCTTAGTCTTCAGTGTCAACAGTAAACTGTATTTTAATATTCTGTATGAGGGCTAATTATGTCCTTTAATATATAGTTTTATTCATTTTTATAAAATGTGATTTAGGGACCCTTAAGTATATATCATAAATAACCCATTCAAATATATTAATCTCTCTCTCAGTCTCTCTCTCTCTCTCTCTCTCTCTCTCTCTCTCTCTCTCTCTCTCTCTCTCTCCCTTTTATATAATGTTTATGTTGTAATGTAGGATGTTTAGAGGAGCCCAATAGTGACACAAATGTAAGCTTTGAGAAAATTGGTCAGGTCCCCTTGAAAGTAGAATACTCTCTGGGAAGATTCTCAACTCCACTGTAGTTATTCTTGTATGTATAACTGCATGGCTACCCAGGTTTGCATTAGGATCATAAGTAGATTGCATTGAGAAAAGGTCACATGAAACTTCTAAGAGAGAGGTAAATCAGTCATATAGATGCACTGTAGACATCCCCAGATTTTGTTTCTGATACTAAGAGACCCAAGTGTCTGAGGGTTGTTCTACTCAAGCCTAGTTCTCAGAGAGTAGATCAGTTTAGTATAGGCATTCCTATATTTTTAATTAAAAAGTTCAGGAATCTGATAAGGAAAACCAAATTCTGTCTCCCTTGTAAGGTTTTTCATACATTGTTTTCTTAAAATGGCTGTAGATTTGAGTTCCTTTCAAATTAAAACTTTGTATGGAGGGTAGAGCTCACCCTACTTCTCCTGTAGGGACAATAATGTAAACAGTGCAGTACAAGATAATTAGTCAATAGGAATTACAAGATCTGAATTCTAGTTCATTGCTAACTGTATCCTTCATGTATCATTTAATCTGTTTTATGTCTATAAAGCTGGAAGAATACAGCTTGCAATTCGTTTTTTACAGGATTAATGCAAGAAATGATAATGCCTTGTAAATTATTGAATTGTAATTCATTTGTATGGTGGTACAATTTTCATGACTACCTTTTAATTTGCACATGATGCTAAATGCTTAACTATATCCAATCTACCTATATCTAGGAAAAAATAGCCTGAGTTGATGAGTTTTTTTCTCTCTACATGTCAGTCTAGTTATAAGGGATAGAAAGTTTGTTTCACAATGGTGGCAGCTCAACAAACAATTGTGCACTTTCTCTACCCCAATACCAAAATAGGACTAATGTGTCATTTTGTGTACATACAAAAAAAGTGGACCTACTATATATGTGTATATGTGTCTATATGAACTCATTTTATAAACAGAGGGATGGAATTAAACTTGAAGAGAGAAGCATTACTTAGCATTTTTTGTAAAATTCTGGGCTAATACCTATTCTAGATGAATTTATTGAATTGAATGATACAAAATAACCACTGTATGATCATTTTCAACCTATATAATAGTGATCTTGCATATGATCCAAACTCATTGTTTGCTATTTTGTGATTATGGTTAGTCACTGGAAATGGTTATAATTATACTTTATTGTTAAGCATAGTATTGTCAAGCATGTTAGATGTCTATCAAATTTGTTCTGTTAGTTGAGTTTTTTCTTAGATGTTTCCTTTCCTGTGTGCAAAGCTTTCTGGCGAACATCTGTCATCAAATCCTTGTTACCTGTATAGACATCACAGTAAACCATACAGGCTAAACTTCATCTATTTATCTTGGCATGGAATTAAGCCAGAGACATTTTAATTTTCCAATATTAAAAAATTATGATTTCTCTACATTTAAAGGTTATTTAACCCTGATAAGTTGTTTTATCTTCCAACAAAGGTTATTGACTTTTAGAAAACAGGAACATTTAGATAATTGGACCCCCAAATAGGAGAGGCAAGTGCTATTGGAAGGAAAAAGGAGGAATCTAGGGGACGAGAACTCTAATTTTCACCTTGTTGGTGTCTTGTTTTATCATTAACATTTTAGGCCCACTTACTCCTTTTTTTTATGACAGTAATAATTAACAAAATAATTTTTATGAGAATTCCTAAAAACAAATATCTGATTCTATTGTTGTAAACAAAGAAACTAGTCATTCCAGATAACCTTTGTCTGATTAACAGTTTCCAGAAAGTCGATGTTAACTGATATTTTTTAATATTCTGTCAGAATATCTGAACCCTGTGGAGGAGAACCCGTTTGTTTCTCGGAGAAAAAATGGAGACCTTCAAGCTTTGGATAATCCTGAATATCACAATGCTTCCAATGGCCCGCCCAAGGCAGAGGATGAGTATGTGAATGAGCCACTGTACCTCAACACTTTCGCCAATGCCTTGGGGAATGCCGAGTACCTGAAGAACAGCATACTGTCTGTGCCAGAGAAGGCCAAGAAAGCATTCGACAACCCTGACTACTGGAATCACAGCCTGCCACCTCGCAGCACCCTCCAGCACCCAGACTACATGCAGGAGTACAGCACAAAATATTTTTATAAACAAAATGGACGAATCCGGCCTATCGTGGCAGAGAATCCTGAATACCTCTCTGAGTTCTCGCTGAAGCCAGGCACTGTGCTGCCTCCTCCGCCCTACAGACACCGAAACACTGTGGTGTAAACTCAGCAGTGGTTTTAAGGTGGAAAGACACACCCACTCCAATTTCCCTGCCACCTCTCTTCCTCTTATGGTCTTCCTTCTATCCCCAAGGCCAGTAGTTTTGAAACTTCCCAGTGGAAGATATAGAAATGCAATGATAGTGATGTGCTTATCTCACTTGAACATTAGAAGGAAGTACTGAAAGAGAAAGACAGGAAAACACCACAGTTTCTTCATTTCTCTGCATGGGTTGGTCAGGAGACTGGAACAGCTAGAAAAGGACCAGAAAATATAAGGCAGTACTGCCTGCTATCAAACTACTTCTCAACTTTTTGTTTTTCTCTTTTTAATCTTTTTTCTATTTTTTTAAAAAATTCAAAGCCTTGAAACACCCATGCTATCTGTTCCAATCTGCAGGAACTGACGTGTACAGTTTTAGCATCCCTGGAAGTCCTAATACAGTTTCTATTAGAATAAAAGGATAGCCTTTTCTATAACACATGATAGTAACTGAGATTGAGACTTCAGTTTCTTTCTCCAATAGTGTCTATCCTGACAAGCAAGAATGGACAACTCAGCTTTCATTAAGTTTAAATCTACATCAAAGTTATAACTAGTAATTATGTTTGGAGGGCTTTCTTGTTTTTCTCTTTTCTTTTTTTGCCCCCCTTTGTTCTATCTGTTTGTATTACTTCTCCCCCTTTTTTTTGGCTTTAATTTGTAATTGCAAAGAGTGTTACATCTAAGCTTCTTATGCATTGCTATAAATTGACAGAATTTTAATAAGAAATATTTTAATATAGTGAGATGGCCACTATTTTAAATATGCAGCCTTTAAAATTAGACGAGGAGGCCAAGATATTAATCAAATGTAGCATCAAATCTAACTATCATGTTTTACACTATTGAATATGTACCCATCCCCATTCCTTTATATTCTTTAATGTTTTCTTGTCCTCCATAAATGGCAGTACTTGATAAGCAGTTGGTAATGTTAAAGTGGAAGGGAAACTAAGAGACAGTTCTCTGTGGTTCATGAAAACTACTGACAACTTTCAGGGGTGAGCCAATGGAAAATCCATTGAACTGGAAGAAACACACTGGATTGGGTATGTCTACCTGGCATATACTCAGAAATGTAGTTTGCACTTAAGCTATAATTTTATTTGTTCTCTTTCTGAACTCCATTTTGGATTTTGAATGAAGCAATATGGAAGAAACCAGCAAAATAACTAACTTGAGTACCTTTTTAAAAAAAGAGATAAGGTAAAGAAAGACTGGAAATGCCAAAACAAGCAAATTGAGACTTTGGAACAGTATCCAGGGATTATGGTGAGAGGGCCAGCACATTATTTACATGTGACATCACATTTGTTTTTCATAAGTTGTCCAATTTGTATACTGCATATTAAGGACTGCAAGTAAGGATTAGCTTGAATTCCATGGAATTTCTAGTATGATATTCTATTTATATTAAGTGGAAGGTAACTCTTTGCACATAAATTAGTATAATAAAAAGAAATACACAAACATTCACAGCTTATAGATAGGCCCTTGAGTCAAATGTTGTAAATAAATGTGAAAAATCTTCTCATGTAATTATTTTAATATCCAATATACTAATCTTTTGATACTTCATATAAGAACTCTTTTTCTTCAAATACAACATCCTAGTTCTAGATCCATCTTTATTATGTATGATTTTACAAGAATACCTGCTGAGTTAAGATGAGCAATTGAGCAATAGGAACAAAATGGTAGAAAATAGAGTCTCCAGGAAAAAGGAACCTTAGGTGAGTAATTAGGAAAACTGGATGTAAGTCTCTCTCTTGTCTAGGGTCAAATTTGAATCTATCATATATATTCTCCATTGGTAAAACAGAATTTAGGGGAAAATGCAAATAAATCTATGTTTCTGCTTATTTTGAAAAAGTAAATGTATCCATCCACTCAACTCCTTCATTTTTTTCAACTGATATTTACTTAGAGTCTACTAAAATCACTGTGTTATGTGGGGGAATACCCACATAAATGTAATATTACTATTAACTGAAAAATTCTACAGCCTAGATTTATTTGGAACTACATTTGTATTCCTCCATAAGTTCAAAAAATAAGATAGGGACTTTTTGTGAGCAGTCATCATAAAATCAGCTGTTTGTTAAAAGATCTCCAGTGAACTCATTTGGGCTATGCATTAAACATCCTGAAAATTACTGAAGTTGGCATATAAGATAGTTTCAATGTTATCATCTAAACACAAACTGGTCTAGAAGGATAGTGCATCGCTGGCTTGTTAGCATATCTGGATTCTAACTTGATCATTAAATCAATGGTTGATGATGGTCTTTGGCCAAGAACCTTGGAGGCATTGGGATGGGTTTTGTCCTAAATTATGAGAAGTAAGGTAAGCTAAAAGAGTGAGGAATAGCAAGGGAGTGGTTTGTGAGATCCCTTCTAGTACAGTTCAACTATGAACTTCCTAAGGTTGAAAATACAGACTGAGTCAGGGGTTGCAGCCTAACAGCTCAGAGCTCTCCCACCCATTCAGAGGAACATCCAGGAAAAGGAGACCTCACATCAATACTTACAAAAATTTGGATATAAGCCTCCTCTTTTAGATAAATCTGTACCTACCCATCACTGACAGCACACTTATTGGATACTAGAACTTGACGCCCCCTTCTGATTTACAATGTTCATATGTCTCTATTGTGGTATGGAAAGCACAATCATTTATTTTGAAAAAGGGAAAAATTTATTTTTTCTTTTTTTTTTTCTGTTAAAGTACTAGAAATGCATTCAGTGAATGTAGTCTCCTTCATTCTAAGAACACGAGACCCTTACACATCAGGTAATCTCCCACTGCTAACTGGAGATAGATGCAAGTATAATCCAAAATGACTCAAAAGGTTTCACAAGAGCTCCACTTTACTGTTCCTTTTTCAGTGATTTCTGTAGTACATACTTGATTTCAATAGTTTTAAGATTTCTCTTTTGTTTTATTTTTGTCCCCCTAGGAAAACATATTTCAGAGAGTATGAAAGGGAGAAAACAAAAAAAGTTTCATTTGTTCCAAAGAATAATTTATTCAACCTAGTAGGGCAAATTTTTAAATGCCAAGTAAAGCCTGCAAAGTGTATTGGAATATCAGATTTCAGAGGCGAGATGTATCAGCGCAAATCTTCAGAATCATTTAAGCAATTTGAGAAAAATTGATATTAAAATTATGCAGACTATTTTTTTAAATAACCAAATTTTGTAGCTTATACCTATCTTGGGGAATCTTATTTTCGGATATTGAAAAACTGTTACTAAATGGTTGTTTAAAGAAGTAGTTCTTAGGGTGAGAAAAGATGTCCTCTAAACCAGGGTAGACCCAGAACCACAACACATCCTGTACCAAGAAGAGGTGCTTGGACTGCTGAGCAGCAGTTGGCTTTCTGAATATTAGTAGCACAGGTTAGGATAAGAGTTCTTTTTCAAGTGATAATCCTGAAATAGCATTAAAAACAGAAACAATGCAATACTCTTATTATATTTAAAAACACAAACTTAAAATAGGAGATTTTTCTTAGTAGATCAGGAAGAATGACTGAATATCTGCAACTTAAGAGAAGACATAGTGTTCTTCTAAGTGTTACAATGTGTGTGTTAATACCTTCTAAAGGCAGGACATGGCGTGGAGATCATGCATGTGCCCAATGCCAAGTACAAACCAGTAGAAGGACTGTGAAGTTCTGCTGCTACGTGAAGCTGGAGGAGCTATGAACGTGCTTCTTAAAGTGTCAAGAGTGAAAAGAAAAATAAACATGTGTAAGCCCGACAGGGAAGGATGTAAATATAAGTTTTTGAGAGCTATCTAACCTTATTTCAAAACTTGAATTATTCATCCATCTATAAATGTTGATTATTTAACTAGTATATGTAGTTCATAAGGTAATAGGAAAGGTGATCATGAAAGCATGTATATAACTGAGCAGAACCATGATAATGCTGTAAGATGTAGATTTAGTTAGGTTATGAGACATTAAATGATTTTAATACTATTAAGTAAATGAAACTAGAAAATTAAACACAAAATATAATGTAATAAAATAAAATGCAAGATATGAACGTGTAGGATGGATTTTGCATAGTAAAAAAATAAGTTTGCCATTTAAAATTGTTATTTGTTAGGTTTAGCTGAAAGTAGGCATATACAGAGCTGGTTCCACTTCTGACAATTTGCTTTAAAGCATTATCATTAATTTCTTCTTCATTCTTTTATTCCTTTATCACACTTTAAATGTATTAAGGGTAAAGATAATTTTTTTAAAAAAAACCTGTTTTGCAAACACTACCCTGTAGAAGCAAATATGTCCCTCATGACTTTAATTAAGAAGGCTTCATAATGAAGGAAGGGAAATGAAAGTGTTCTATTACCTTATGCAGAGACAGAGAATGAGTGATGCCATTTCGTAAACAAACAAAATACATTTACTGTGTGACGTGTTCTTTCTTTTTCCATAACACCTCCCATTTCCAAAGACAAAACCAAGGAACTAGTTAACAATATTCTGATAAATAAATGCTAAATAAACCAAGCATTTCAAACTGCTGTATTTCCATTACTTTGGACTCTAGTTATTAGACTGATGGTTTTTAATAAGGCAGATGAGCAACCCACGCGGATAAGCTGCTAGTTGTTAAAAAGCCAGATAAATTCCCTTCTTCGTATGCTATGGACAGAGAACTCCGCTGTGCCTCTCCTTGTGTATATGGATTGTGAAGGGCAGGCTTGTACCCATGTAGAGACATAAAGGCAGACTCAAGTCTCCTGATTGTCATTTGCTTTAGAACGAATAACCTACAGAAGTAGATTGGATGTGATTTTAAAATAACAACATCAGTGGAGACCTCGATATTGCTGATATTACAGTGGGGCCAGCTTTTATATTTCTGGGTAGCATTAATACGATGTTTCTGATCCCGGAGATGTCTTTGCGAGATGAGTTCTCTCTACAGTTGCAAACATGAAGCTGTTGATTGTGTCAGGAAAACCTTGTGTTTGTGTGGACAAGTGGCTTTTAACACCATGGCTGCTTTGTTCTTTTCATTAAAAGAAAAGTCTCCATAAAAGAGTAGAAATTTGAGATGCCCTCTTGAAGTCCCCCTAATTTTGTGGAGGTGCAAAAAATGTAGGACTTGTCACTTTTGCAGACCCCTGTCTCAACTCTTCCCAGCCAAGTGATACTTTGGGCAGAAGAAAATGCTTTTCTAGTTGCAAGCCGAAAAGAAGCTAAGCCCAATTTCATGGGGGTATTCACATGCATCCCCTGGAAAATACTCTCTGACAGTCGGTTTTACAATTAAGTGATTATCTTGTTAGGCATCACAGACAAATTCATTTCTCTCTGGACCTTGGAGGAAAATGCCCCCCTTATTTCTTTTCCTATTGGCACAACTGCCTCCGTTCTCTTCACTTTTCTATCACTCATTCAGAGGGGTCCTCTGGATGCTTAAGCCATAGTGGACCCCTGAGGTCCCGCACCCTGCTTTGGGAAATAATGACTTAACCTCTGCCCTCAAATGCTTGACTTTTCCATAAAAAGATTCTAGCAATTTGGACATTATCTGAATTACTTCTCAAATAAATTACTGCACAGAATATACTTTATGATATTAAAATTTTGTTTTTCCATGAAGATTGATTCCTTTACTATGTCCTTCTCTGTAAGAATTGGGGACGAGTCAGCCCTGCAATGAATCTTGAAACTCATATTATGTGCACATGCCCTTGGTACATCTTAGGTTGAATGTTTTCATAAAAACCTGACATATAACTAAGAAGTCAGTTTTGCCAGCAAATTAACTTATTTGCTTTATCTCATTTTATTCCTGATCGCAAATAGTTTATAGCTGCTGTATTTTTTTTTTCACAAATGAAGAGTCTTATTATCGTAAAGGTAAAGGAGACCCAGCTTTGAGAACCAGCTGTAATCCTTTATTGGTTCATTCATCCATCGAAGAAATATATAATGAGTGCAGTTTTGCTGTAATGAAAATCCGTGTTGTCTAATAGGGTGCCATTCTTTCTCTATTTTGCTCTCTAAGGACGTTTTTCTTCGAACGCTCTCATGAGTTTTACCCATATCATGAGAAGTGGTTATATTTGTACAAATATACAAATATAAGAAAAACTTTCATACCTGTAGGCAGCAGTCTAACATGTCCAAACCACTTTGCCTTTACTGCTATTTTTACTCCTGATGTGTAGATGTTTCTCCCAGGCCTGTAGCCCTTTTGAAGGAAGGCAAATCATACCTCCTCTATACTGGCATAACCTGCTTTTCGAGGATCATTTCCAGATTTTTTAGTTAATGAAGGGTTGTACTTTTTCCCTAATGTGAAAGTCATTTTCCTGTATATTTCTGGATATCTCAGGGGCTGGGAGGGGGGAGTGAGGGGACTACACCATAGCACTCCAAGAACCCTTTTGGGATTACTCCAGTACTCAACTACGAAAGTTATTTTCTAAATGTAGATACGTACGCTGTTCTTTTAAAAGTAAGGTACTTTGAAATATGTAGCATAAATTGGTACTGCTGTTAAATGGGTCGATTATTAAGCTGAGCAGCTGTGTGAAGGCAGCTAACTTTGAATGCACCCCTCATTGGCTGGTGTGTCAACATCTCACGCTGTGAGCGCCAGGGACTCGCATTGCTGCGTGTCAAAACTGCATTTTCTCATGGTGTGACTGGCCATTGATCTTTCTTGAGCACCATTGTGACAAGATGAAATGAAAATGAGACCAATCTGCAAGACATTTCATAGCACAAATAATAATAATAATAATAATAGTAATATAATAATAATGTCATGTTAAATCTCTCACACATTCATCTCATACATGCATCAAAAGAGTTGATTAAGATCAGTTCAGGTGATAAAGGGAGACACTCTACTGAAAAGATAGAGGCTTAAGGTATTTTATACATTTGTATTCATTTCCTTATGTTCTTGTAAACAGAAAACAAGCCCTCTCTCTTGTGAAGTATCTTCAAAGGACAGGGGTGCAAAGTCCTTACCAACATAGTTGGTAAGCCATAAATGTTTCATTAAAATCCCAGTGTTCAAAGTTAGCTGCCTTTTGAAATAAACAAAAAATACTACTGTATGTTTGAAAATGTGAATAGTATTTTTATAGCTTGTTAAAGACATGGCTAGTTGCATTTGTAAATAAGAATAATGTTGCTTTGATTTTCTTTTGTGGACATCTTTATTTGGAACATAATTGTCTTTAGGGTTGATTTGTATATAAGTAATTGGCTTGTGATTGTTTCTTTTTGGTTGGAAGTTATCATTTTGACATTACTTGTGATTCTGTGTTTAGCACTATTGTGACGTGTTCAACCTCTGCACTCGCTTACACAATAGGATATGCCAATTGTGTGTTGTGTAACGTTATTTTGATTTTTTTTCTATTTTACCTATGAAGGATTATGCACTTAACACATACTAACTTTTTTAATGTTAGGTGTATTTTTTAGTATAATTTCCCTTATTCATTTTTCTCCTTCAACCCTTCACCCCATTCTCGTTTCCTTCCCCCAATTTCTGTTGTGATTTGAAAATGAGGGACAGAAAATATTTTAAATTTCTGTAATTAAGCTTTTTCGGTTAGTTCTCAAGGATCCTCTCTTGGCTCTTGGGAAAGAATTGTACCTGTACAAGGCAATTATAGAATGCGACCTGCTTTGCCTCATTCCGTACTGATCATCCTAGCTGAACAATTTGAAAACTGTTCTGCTTTTTTGTTACATGAATCTGTCAGAAATATATTTTTAATTTAATATAAATGAAATTCAATAAAATATGAAACAAATGTGCTCTTCTGTGTCAGAAATTTATTCTAAGAAAAAACAATTGGGGAAAAGAAATATTTGTTCTAGATTTAATATTCTAAAAATGTGAAATGAGCTTATTTTTACCCATATTTATGAATCTCATTAATTATTGCTAGGAACCCTTTTGTTGTTTGAAATATGATACATTCCATATGTTTCTTTACCATCTAGTGCATATGCTTATTGATGTGTACAAACTTACTCATCTGTGCAAACTATGCTTAATTAATGGTGTTTGGTTTATTTCTTTGGAAATAAAAAAAAAGAAAGAAATATTTGCTAGGTTATATCCAAAAACCATTAATATTTTTTAGTAATTTTTTTTTCTTCACCTCACTTTCTCAAACTACCCAGGAGCAACTCATCCATGATGGAGAATTAGGTTACTTTTATTTTAAAAAGATAAGTGCAACATACAAGTAAAGAGATTTTTAAAAATAATTATGTAGAAAGCCTACTGGTTGTGTTCCTCTCAGAAATCTATTTTGTAAAGACACCACTTAAACCCTACATATATCAGAGACCACAGCATATACTCATTTTTTTAGCAATGTTATTGTATACATTAATGTTAATGGAAGTGAAACCTCACATGAAGTACAAAATAAATTAGATAAATTTTCTAGGCTTCATTACATGATAAATGGCCACAAGAAACAAATTCTGAAATATAGTATAGAATCTGATCCTGAACCAATATCAAAACTTCAATTAAAATGATAATGATAAGAGGAAAAAATATATAGAGAAGGTGTGAGGTAGGTATACAATAGAACAGAAAGTTAAAAGCTAAAATGAATGTCAAAATTAATATTTTAGCCATTCTCTTCTGCTTTGCACTCTAAGATTCCTGAATTCAGAATTGCTTAACTTTTTAAGCCCTGTGGGAATGTGTGTGTGTGTGTGTGTGTCTGTATGTGTGTGTGTGTATAATGTATATAGTTATATAGTTAGATGATGATAGATAGATATACATGTATAGACAGAAAATACATGACACAAAATATTTAGATATATACTGCAGAATTTCATACAGAATTTCTATTTTCAAGTAATTTCACAGCAAGCCCCAAGATGTTTATCATACTACACGTTACACTCATAAAATTGTAAACCGAGCAGGTGCATAGTTAGCTAATTGTATTTCCCTCCACAGTATTATCAAGCTGCATGATAAACCATGGGGAGAAAAGCCTCTAGACAACTGTCTTAAGATTAGAAACAGAAGACTGTCACCTAGATAGCAATTTTAAAGCTATAAACAGAACAGTTCACCACAAGATAGCAATCAGGAGACTGTAAACCAAATGGTACACACGAGACATGTGAATATTGAAATACCTGCTCTTGCAAGTTACCCATAGATATTCTGAAAGAAAAATACCCATCATGTAATTCTGTTTCTACGTGGTCACATTTCCAAGATAACTAGAGGATTCTATGAACTAACATAATCCAAGTTTTCTGCCTCCTTTAAAAACAAAGTAAAATAAAGACCCAAAACTTAAAAGACATATTCTATTAGCTGCCAACTGATTCTTAATGCAAGAAGAATATACATATCATACAATATCTTCAACATACAATATTTTTTGTTTTTTAAGAGTTTTTATTAAAAATATAGCTAACAAAAATAAATAAATACATACATAAATAAATAAATAAATAAATAAATAAATAAATAAATAAATAAAAATATAGCTAACATACAATACTATATTAGTTGTAGGTGTACACCATAGTTATTCAACATTTACATACCTAAAAAAGTGATCACCATAAGTCCAGCAACCATCTGACACCATACCATGTTATCACAATATTATTGTTTATATTCCTTATGCTGTATATTACATCCCCATAACTTATTTGTTCTATACCTGAAAATTTGGACCTCTTATTCCCCTTCACCTTTCCCTCTTTTTAAATTTTTCAATTACATTTGACATTCAATATTACTTTATATTAATTTCAGGTGTACAACATAGCGGTTAGAAATTTATATAATTTAAAAAGATACCCTCCTGACTAGTCTAGTACCCACCTAGCACCATACATAGTTATTACCATATCATTGACTATATTCCCTATGCTTTACTTTACATCCCCATGGCTATTTTGTAACTACCAATTTGTGCTTTTTAATCACTTTACCTTTTTCACCCTACCCCCTGCCCCCTCCCATCTGTCACCCCAACAAATCTAGTACTCTTATGACACTATACATAATTATTACAATATTATTTACTATATTCCTTATGCGATACCCTACATCCCCATAACTATTTTGTAACAACCAATTTGTACTTCTTAACCCCTTAACCTTTTTTCACAGCTTACAGGCTGCTGTGTGAGGGACTTAGCTCATGGACCAAGAGCCTCCCCACCAGCTGCTTCTGGTGACTGTTGAGACCACCCTTTGGTTGTGCCACTTGTGGAGCTAATTGGATGGTGCTCTACTGTGGTTAAAGCTGACCTCCAAGTATGTTGGTTCTTGGGTCATTTTGGAGGGGCTCTGGTGCAGGCCCAGGTCACCAACCACCTGTGACTGGCCAGGGGCTACCTGGTAGGAGCTACAAAATGATCTGCAATTGTTCACTGCCTGTGTCGGGCCTGGAGGCATGTGGGAGTGGCCACCCTGCAAATTGAAGATGGCCCCCACCGGTACCAGGTCTGAGGTAGCTCTGCAAAGAGCCAGGATACCCTGAGGCCTGCAGCCACCTGCGGGCTCCCTTTAGGTTCAGCCACTGATAATGCCTCAAGTAGTAACACGTTGGGTGAGACAGGGTCTCAGGGAGTCACTAGAGTAGGAAGAATTGTAGTCACCAGGTTAATGTAAATTCTGGTTTGGTGCCAATGCTGATTCTGGAGTGACTCAGCAAAAGTCTCAGAGCATACTGAGGCCAGTTGCCGCTTGCCTGGGGCCTGCCAGACTCCAATACTTTTTCAAAAAAGAGTGTAATGTGTGCGGGGCTGGTTGCTTGCAGAGAAAGTGCCTCAGCGGTGCACAAGTTGGGTGGGGTAGGTTCCCAATGAGTCAGCTGGGTGGAACAGCAGAGCTCACCAGGCCAATCAGATTCAGATTTGGCTGGAGGGGGTGGGTTCAACATAGGAAAGATGGTGCCTGCCTGCTGCCTGCACAGAGGAGACCCTCTCACAGGTAAAATGCTGACTGTCCTCCAGCCCTCCCCTCAAAGCCACAGACCTCAGTCTGCTCCCCACTTGCCTCCTGAGTCACTGTCCCTCCGCTGGAGCCCAAGGTGAGTGTCTGCGAGCAAATGAGTTTGTGTATGGGCTGTTTAAGATGACATCTGGGTTTCCTGCTGCCTTCCTGCCTACCCGAACGGTCGGAATCTCCCCTGTTTTTCACAGCTAGGTTTTGTCGGGGCTCCTCTTCTCAGCAACAGTACTCAGGGCTAGGGAGCCTGGTGTCGAGGGCTGGGGTCCCTTGGTCCTCAGTGGGAAACCGAGGTATCTTTCCTAATTCTCAGCAGCCACACACAGGTGTGGGGCTCGTTCTGCATCTCCGCCTCTCCTATGAGTCTCGACGTGGTTTCTTCTTTATATTTCTAGTTGTTGGACCTCTGTTTGTCTAGACTTCAGATGGTTCTCCAGGCTGATTGTTCTATAATTTAGTTGGACTTTTGATGTGTTCATGAGGTGAGGCAAGCACAATGTTTTTCTACTCCACCATTTTGGATCTCTCAACAACTTAAGGTTTGAGGGAATCAAAATGTATGCACACATTTTTGACTGAGTAGGTTCAGTGCCTTTAAACCCACATCGTTCAAGGGTCAACTGTATATGTCCTATAATATTAATAATGATGTAACTGGTGTGGTTTATTTTCTCAAACATTTAAACTTAGATGTGCAATAAATGTCATTTTAATTTTATATAACAAAACTTAGTATTTTCCCCAGATCTCCAGTTTATCCAGAGGTAAAAAACATAAACTGACCAATTAAGGAATTTTCAGAATTAATTCAAACTATATTTAGCCTATGTAAGTTTTTTTTCCCCAATCACTACCTCTCAGAAGTAACATTTAATTCTGGATGCCTATATTAATAAATGTTTGCAAGATTCTTCAGCCATGATACATAACCCTGAAATATCATTGACTTATCATATAAAAGCTTGTTTCTGCTGTGCGTCTGGCCACTTTCTACCAAATGATGCCTCAGGAGATTAGACTATTTTCATCTTGTGGCTCATCTATCTCAACATGTTACCTCTATGATTACCATAACAGGGAAGAGAATGTCAGAGGGTCAAACAGGGGCTTTTCGCTGCCACAGCTCAGAAGGGACCCATCATTTCTGCTCACAGTAAATTGGTTAAAACTAGTCACTTGTTCCTGCCCAGGATCAAGGGAGCTGTGAGAGCACATAGACATTGAATAAACATAATTTTTCTGACACATGGCTGATATAGCACTATGCCAATGAAGGAAAATGTCTAGTCCTTGGCCATATCTGTGATAGTATCTATTCAAATATGCACTATAGATCTAATTGTTGGTAATGATCATTCTTTTATTGTTTCTTTCACTGAAATGTCTAAATTCCCATCTGGCAGTCAGCCATTTTGTTGAATGCATACATAGCCCACTGTCATTTTCCCTTTTGTGACCATAGTCCCCAGACTGTCCTGCAAATCTCTGGACTTTTCCATTCTAAAACATTGAAATTGGCTTGCTTACATTACTATGAAACTTGCTACTACGACCAGAGGCTCTCCATGTTGCCACATCTACCCTGTTACCCCCCGCCCCAATCCGAAGGCAAGTAAAATTCTGTGAAGTCCCTTCTTAATGTTTGACTGAATGTTTTCATTTCCAAACTTGACCTAAGGGACAGTACAGTTTCTATGAGTAGAATCAGATTCTATTCATGGATACCCATCAGAATCTGTAATTTTTCTCTTTATCTTCATTCTTCCTTCTTAGGTCAGAAGAGTTTTATAGATTGGAAA